GGTCCTGCGTATTGAACTCAGGACCTTGAGCTTGCAAGGCAGGTGCAGCACCACTGAACTACATCCCCAGCCCAGCTTTTTGCAATTTATTATGCAACTATTCACAGCCCATTTTTATTTTGTGAAAAGTTTAAGAATCTAAATTGTTTCCTTCTAGGTTATAGATGAAAAAGGGGATATCCTACCACCTGGCAAAGAAGGGGATATTGCTCTCAGACTAAAGTCTTCCCGGCCTTTTTGTTTCTTCTCTGAATATGTGGTATGAAAATGTAGAAACTGCTAGGCATACTTTAGTCCAGATAAGGGTCTGCATTTCTGCCTACTGTGCCTTGCTATATATAAACTGGGGCAAGTGACAGAACCCTGCACCATTTCATGAACTGTAAAAAGGGGAGAATAGTATCTACCTCCCAAGCATATTGTGAAGATTAAATACTACAAGTAAGAAAGTGATTGCAGTGCTGGTGTCAGAAAAGACAGGGTAGGAGAAGGAGGAAGGGCATGGAGGATATTAGAGGTGGAAGAGAGGCTTGGTTTTTTAATACTCTTCTATACCTTTTTTTATTTTAGGATAGGAACTACCTTAACTTAAAAAAGTTAACTTCAGCCCAGTGTGGTGGTGCATACCTCTAATCCCAGCATTTGGGAGGCTGAGGCAGGAGGCTTGCCACAAGTTGAAGGCCAGCCTGGGTTACAGAGTGAGTTCAAGGCCAGCCTGAAGTACATAGTGAGACCCTGTCTCAAAAACAAACAAACAAAAACAAAAACTTCATTTAGAAGTAAGATGTTGTAATGTGCCAGTCACTTAGTGGGTACCAGACCCCGTCTCTGTTCTGTCCAAACTAATTCCCAAATGTCCGATCAATTCCTAGGACAATCCAGAGAAAACTGCTGCTACGATAAGAGGAAACTTTTATGTCACTGGGGACAGAGCCCTGATGGACCGAGACGGGTATTTCTGGTTTGTCGGCAGAGCTGACGATGTCATTATATCCTCTGGGTTTGTACACGTACCATTTCTAGAAAGCAGCACCGTGGCAGGGTGGGAGACCTCGGATCTGGAGTGTAGTGAGCAGGCTGCCCCTCCTCTGCAGGTACCGTATCGGGCCCTTCGAAGTGGAGAGCGCACTCATTGAGCACCCAGCAGTTGTCGAATCAGCTGTCGTCAGTAGTCCAGATCCAATCCGAGGAGAGGTGAGTGAACATCTCTAACCAAAGCAGCAGTTCCCCAGTTTCAAGTTCTGTTTGACCACTGTAAAGACTAAATCAAGAGCACAGTAATCATTTCATTTTCATTGTGAGGTACACATGGCAAAAATGGAGACTAGGAAATCAACTTTACAAATGAGTTGTGTCCCAAAGAGGATTGGGATTCTTTGGGTGGTAAGTGACAGAAACTCAACTCAAATTGACTTATCAAAAAAATAAATAAATAGCTGGGGATTTAGCTCAGTGGTTTCGCTGCCTGCCTTGCAAGAGCAAGGTCCCAAATAAAAAAACAAACAAATAAATAAAATGTTGGGCTCATATAACTGAGAGGTATTTAGGTACATCTATTTCCAAGTGTTCATGTGGAGTTAGCATCGCTTTAGTCTCTCCCTGTGGCTGGCTCCCCTACTCTGTTGACTCTCTCTGAGCAAGTTCTTCCTTTTTTGGGGGGGATTAGCTCAGTGGTTGCTGCCTGCCTTGCAAGAGCAAGGTCCCAAATAAAAAAACAAACAAATAAATAAAATGTTGGGCTCATATAACTGAGAGGTATTTAGGTACATCTATTTCCAAGTGTTCATGTGGAGTTAGCATCCCTTTATTCTCTCCCTGTGGCTGGCTCCCCTACTCTGTTGACTCTCTCTGAGCAAGTTCTTCCTTTTTTGGGGGGGTGGGTACTGGGGATCAAAATGACTTTGCACTTGCAAGGCAAGCAGTAGAACCACTGAGCTAAATCCCCGGCCCTAATTTCTTCCTACTTGATAACAACCAAGTCCACATTCACACAGGGCAAGGAGACAGCTAACTTTCCAAGCGTTCTCAGGGACTCCCAGGATCTTCTCTGCCTATGTTAGGTCACATCTCTAGCCAAAGTGGCCCACTGAATGGTACAGGTGACTGGCCAGACCTGGATCATATGCCTGTCCTTAGAGGTAAGGCTTGGTGTCAACCCCACCACAGAGAAGTTAGGGTAATACTCCACAGGAAACTCAGAGTACTGTTACCGAAAAGTAGGAGCAGATACCGAATTAAGCCTCAGATTTCACTGTACAACTGTCATGGATGGATATGATGCATTTCCTCACGGAAATAATGCAAACAAAAGATTGTGGCCATGTTCCCAAATAAGTCCCACAAACTTCCTAATTAGGACCTAATGACAGTGTTACTCAGGCAGTAACAAGAGCCTTGATTCTAGGAGGAAACTCTATACTAAGGAAGAGAAATCCACTTTCTCCATGGAAGTTTCCCATAGACTCAGCAAGCAGAAAAATCTCAATACTGTGTATACCAATCACCTCCCACATCTCCTTCTGTGCCTTTCTCTCACATACTCTCTGCAGGGACGTTGATCTCATACGCTTACCTCCTGTACCCCCTTGATTTTTCATGTAATTCCATTCTCCAAAAGGTTCTTCTTCTGCCACTACACTCTTAGTCTCTCCACATAGCTGATTTCAACAGAACACCGGAAGTCAACACCAATTACAATCAGCGATGAATAATCAATCATTTAAACTATGCTTGCCAAGCTCAGTAATTCTCTAATTGCTTTAACCGGTATTACAAAGAAAAGGAGAAACTGAGAAGCAAGAAAGACCCTTTGAGATAGATCAGTCCTTCCTAATACATCATTCTTCTCCCTCCATTAGGCTTCCCAAACCCCCTTCCAAACACATTCTCCTGAACTTCCACCTCTCCGGACACCACGCTTCCTCACGCAGTATAGGCTGGATGGTGGATACAGTCATCTGTCAATCAGACCGCCTGAATACAAAACAGAATCACTGTTAAATGTGTGACACGTGAAGAGCTCAGCCATGAAAGCAGCACTGTACTCCTCACACTCACAACGCATTTACCTGGAAAAAGAGCCCCCAAATCTCACTTTGTCACTGTAGTATTTGAACCGTGTTCGGGGGGGATCCTGGCATTTGTAGTCATCACTCAAGCTGCTGTTAACATAGCGCCTCTGCTCAGCAATGGTTCCAAGCTCTTCGCGTGTCTGCAGAACAAACATAGCAATACAAATGGACTCTTTTACTGCAGGTGGTAAAAGCGTTTGTTGTCTTATCTGCACCCTACAAATCATCGGACCCTGAGAAATTAACTCTTGAGCTTCAGGATCATGTGAAAAAATCGACTGCACCTTACAAATATCCAAGAAAGGCAAGTATAAGCTAGGTTTGTGCAGCATGTAAGTTCTAACTAGATTCTAATGTAGCTTTTATTGGATTTTGGCTTTAGAGTAGCTCAGTATATAGGTAGAAGATCTCTCTTCAGTTCTGTTAGCCAATAATTTTGCTTTAAAATGTTTTATATGTGGGCGCTAAAATGTTTGTTAAACTTTTAAAAATTAACTCTGCAACGCTGAGTAACTACTAAGAATAAAGAATTAGTCCCATTCCGTGTAGAGATAAGGATTGTTGGCAAAATATTAAGTGCTTAATTAACTAAAATGTTTGTTAAACTTTTAAAAATTAACTCTGCAACACTGAGTAACTACTAAGAATAAAGAATTAGTCCCATTCCGTGTAGGGATAAGGATTGTTGGCAAAATATTAAGTGCTTAATTTTTAGGGATAGTATCTGATTTTTAGCCCTCTGGGGCATATAATGTCCCGCATTAATTTAAAAAAACATATTTAGCTTAGTGGTGCTGCTGCCTGCTTTGCAAGCGCAAGGTCCCGAATTCAATCCCTGGTGTAAAAAAAATACATATGCCTTTAAGTGTCAAGTAGCTTCATTTATGGCTCAGGAAGAAGATGCTATCCAAAGAAAATACGGTAGCTTTCCTGAAACCTTCAAGTGGGGATTTAAAAGCAATTCTAAACATGAGAGTTACACTGCAGCTTCCTTCCTATTCGCTGATGGTGACTAATCTGTAAGACAGTTCGTCAGTTGGTATCATTTCGGTCAGAAGATAGGTAATTTCAACCTAAGAACTAACTGAATCATTTTAACTTTTTTCTCCATTAAACAGAATCAGTAATCCTTTTTCAGAAACGAGATCCAAGGGCATTTAAAAATACATAGTGTCAGCTTGACAGAGGGGAACAGACAGAGTCAAGGCCAAACCTAAGGGAAACTGTAGGTACTCCAAATCATCACTAATACTCCTCCTTCAGAATCTGCAAGACCCCACTCTCTTCATTGATTTGGTCATTCATTTATTCATGCTTGAAACTGATACTCAGCCTTCCAAAGAGCTGGGATACAGGTATGCACCACCACATCTGGCTGCAGGATACATGCCAACATTTTTCTTTTTGGATTTAAATGTAAACCTCCATTCTCCAGAGGGCAATAAAGGCCTGGGTCTAGACAGGACAAGCAGAGAGGTAAAGGGATTCTTTTCTTTTGGCACAGCATGTAAATTTACACTAAAAACTACTAGGATGGAACTGTACAGTCATTCTTACTGTATGAACTGACCAAGTTTCTTGAGCCCACAAGATTCAATGAACGTAAGCTAAGACAATGTCCACATATAAAATTCAGAATTTTACGAGAGCTCTTTATCTCATTGACAGCTGGGGTGTTAAAATGGAACCAAGGGTCTCACTGTATTTTTTTTTTTTTTTGTCAATTAGGTGCAATTTGTCCAAGAACTACCAAAGACAATCACTGGGAAAATTAAGCGCAACATTTTAAGAGATCAAGAATGGGGACGAATATAGCTTGATAAGAAAACCGAGAAATTAAATAGTAACATGGTTGCTTTCTTTTAGGATTTGCTTCCTGACAATTCAGTGACTACTTTCTTAAAATGTTAGTTTTTTTCTAGTTGAAAATTTGTTTTCCACTTAGCCAAAAATTTAAAAATAAAACCTGAACTTGAGAATATTGTTATAATAACCAAGTCAACAAAGGTAATGATTTATAGCATTTGAAAGAGGATAAAATGATTACTTAAAAAAGGAAAGTATACAATGAGTCTGTGTTTCATTTAACTTGTCCTGAATAATATAAAATAAAGATAAGAACTATTCTAGGAGAAATATTTGACAGAATTTCTTCTGCTTAACTTTTTTACGATCTCAATACTTTCTTTTGAGACAGAGTTTCCCTATGTAATTCAGGCTGGCCTTGAACTCATTATGTAACCCAGGCTGGCCTCAAACTCATGGTGATCCTCTTGCCTTAGCCTCCTGAGTGCTGGGATTATAGGTGTGCACCCTCACGTCCAGCCTTCAATACTTTAAAGTAACTTAAGATGAGGAATGTAACTACTATAACTCAAAGACCAATGAGTGAATTTAATGAAATTAACTCCCATAGTGTTGTTCCTCGTTTTGGAGCAAATTCTGTAAAATATCAGAAAACCTGGATTATTCAGGAACATTAATTATTTAAGAGCAATTAATACATTTTTTATAGCTTTACTTTTTAGAATCACACATGACTTCTGATACATAATTTGACACAAAAACATTTTTAATGATACATAAGGCATAAAGCAAAAGATCTACTAAGAGGCAGAAAAAAAAAGTACAGAACATCAATCTTTAGGGAACAACTTTATTTTGATTTTTCTGAAAATATCAGGAGCTATAAAAAACAAGCTGAGTATCTGGCTGGACCAAAAGCAAAACACAAGTAAAAATAGCACTTGAAAACCATGTTAGAAACCATGTTTTGAAACACAAAGTTTAACCCTTTTCTCAGAGCAAAACAAGTTCATAAATCACAACACAAGTTGTTCAACTGCCACAATTTTAATTAAAACATTGAAAGAAAAGGTACCCAATATCCACCTCTCATCATTTATAAAATAATATGCTCAAATTTCAGTGAAAATAAACAGGTGATACATTTAAAAGCAAATCTTTTAATGAGTAAACGCAGCTTTTAACAGAACATCGTATTTCTGTTGGGGAAGAATAGCTTGTTTCACACTCAGATCTTAGCACATATAAATATTTACAAATGGCAAGTAAAATAATAAAATCAAAATTTCTTTAGGGTAGCAGCTTCACAAAGCAAAAGAAATCCAGTTATGACAAACTTAGTCCCAGAGTCCCTTTGTCCTGCACTATCAAAATAAAGCATCTGTCTTAGAGCAAGTCTGAAGAAGGCACCAAGATCCTTCCTGTCCTCCCAAATGACACTAATTACTACTCTTATCCTTTAGATATGACTTCAACATCATTAAGAGTCAACATTCTAGGGTGGGTGCAATAGCACACACCTGTAATCGCAGCTATGGGGGAGTCGGAGGCAAGAGGATCACAAGTTCAAGGCCACCCTGGGCAATTTAATGAGTCTTAAAATAAAAAATAGAAAGCGAGGAAAGTGGTTTAGTGGTACAAGGCTTGCCTAGCATGCACACATCTCCGAGCTCAACCCCACAAAAAGAATTAACATTTAAATATCTTAAGATATCAGAGAAAGTACCAGTCCCATGTACACTGGCAAGGTCCTCTGCCCTCCCAAATCCTTAGCCCGTTTACCAGAGGCCCTCACTGAGAGTAGAAATGCCCATGTTCACTAGCCATTAAACTGACACAG